AAAAAAAAAAAAAAAAAAAAAAAAAAAAAAACTAGAAATCACCTACATGTCCCATAATGTGGGACAGGGTAGTTTATGATTTAATAAAATATTCTTCAGTTACTAATATAGACATATATTTATATTTATATGATGATAAAGTACATAAAAAGAGTGTGTTATAAATATATGATGTACAGTACTATCACACCTTGCTAAACACATACTGAGTGAATATTAATAGTCATACAGACAAAATTGGCCTGGCTGGTGGCTCACACCTGTAATCCCAAGCATTCTGGGAGGTTGAGGCAGGAGGGTTGTTTGAGCCCAGGAGTTCAAGACAAGCCTGAGCAACACAGTGAGACCTCGTCTCTATTTTATTTTATTTTTTAAGAAGAGAGAGTGAGAGACAAAATATTGGGTGGTAAGATTATTCGTAATGTTTATTTTTTATTTTTGCCTATTCTCTAAAATGAACTCGTTTCTTTTATATAAATATGCTCTAAAGTTACTTAGTAGAATTTGAAGATTTTCATTTAATTTTAATAATACTAAGGCGACTTATAGTAATGACTATTGCCACTAAAATAACACACAAATGAAATAACTTTTCTTCCAGGGTTCCACATTGAATCACTTCTTCAGTTTATATCAAATCCCAACCCTCAGTGCGTAAGGCTGAGGTGGGGAGAGGGGCTGTGAGGGGCAAGGAGGAAAGGAATGAGGCCCTGCTGGGCATGCTGCCAGATGAAGAGGTTATCTAAGGCCCATCCCCAACTAACCTCAGTTTACACAGCATTCAATCATCATACCCATTATCATACAGCAAAAATAACAAACACAAAAGAAGAAAATTTTGGTTTTGGCCAGGCATGGTGGCTCACACCTATAATACCAGAACTTTGGGGAGGCCAAGGCAGAGAACTACTGGAAGCCGAGTTCAAAACCAGCCTAGGCAGCAAAATAAGATGCCATCTTTACAAGAAAAAAAAAATGTTTTTAATTAGCTGGGTGTGGTGGTGTGCACCTGTAGTCCTAGGTACTTGGGAGGCTGAGACAGGAAGATGGCTTAAGCCCAGAAGTTCAAGGATGCAGTGAGCCATGATCACACCATTGCACTGCAGCCTGGATGACAGTGCAACACTCCTTCTCAAAATAAAAACAGTGGCTCATGTCTGTAATCCCAGCACTTTGGGAGGCCAAGGTGGGTGGATCAATTGAGATCAGGAGTTCGGGACCAGTCTGGCCAACATGGTGAAACCCCGTCTCTACTAAAATTACAAAATTAGCCAGGTGTGGTGGCATGCACCTGTAATCTCAGTTACTTGAGAGGCTGAGTCAGGAGAATCACTTGAACCTGGTAGGTGTAGGTTGTGGTGAGCCAAGATCGTGCCACTGCACTCCAGCCTGAGAGAAAGAGCAAGACAACCTCTCAAAAAAAAAAAAAAAAAAAAAAAAAAAAAAAAAAAAAAAAAAAAAAAATGGCCAGGTGTGGTGGCTCATGCCTATAATCCCAGCACTTTGGAAGGCCAAGGCGGGCGAATCACTTGAGGTCAGGAGTTCGAGACCAGCCTGGCCAACATAGTGAAACCCCATCTCTATTAAAAATACAAAAATTAGCCAGGTGTGGTGGCATAAGTCTGTATTCCCAGCTATTTGGGAGGCTGAGACATCAGAATCACTTGAACCTGGGAAGTGGAGGTTGCAGTGAGCCAAGATCCTGCCACCACAGTCCAGCCTGGGTGACAGACTGAGGCTCTATCTCAAAAATAAATATATACATATATATATACACACATATATATGTATTTATTTTCATACTTGTACAATTTTCATCAAACAATGTGTGATCTAGCAGAAAGGTCATGGAGTTAAATAGGTCATAGCAACTTTCTTTCTCCCTGCCTGATGTTCAAGTGTGCTGTTTCTATTTACTCATCTCGATAACTTTACGGAGTCCTCTGTTGCTTCTGTACAGAGGAGGACTTGGGAGCAGTTGTGACTTTTGTTACTAAACAGGACACTTGCAACAATGCCATGCCTGCTGCCAGCCACCAGCAACAGAAGAGCTGAGGTATGAAATGTGTATTTCACTTCTTTAATAAACAATAAATCTTATTACATCCTTCATAATTACATTCACTGTGTTAACGAATGAAAAACAATACTCTAGTTTCCTATAGAAATTCTTGGTTGATCAGTTATTCATTATCCTGTACAGAACATACATTTTATAGGCATAATTACGTTAGGTTCAAAAATACATTTCCAGCATATATCATTTGTGTTATGTGACATATTCCAGAACCGAATTCTTAACACGATTTGCAGACTGTTTGGACTCAGCTCTGTGTCTTTTAACAATAGCCCTGTTGTGGGGAAGGATCAAGTGGGGAAGGAGGGTGTAAAACCTGTTGTTTCACAGCTGTTGAAAGGAAGCCAAGACAACAGTGCATGGCTCCTTCCATATTGGCTTTTCCCAGCACCTTTCCTCTGAGGCAGCTTATATGTACAGAGGTCTGCATCAAGAAAGAGAAATCCTTATTTGTACCTGATGTTAGACTCATACCTCTTCTCTGGCTGAACTTGAGGCTTTGCACCCAGGGCATGCTGGGCTGTTTCTGCTGCAGCTGCACCCGACTTCCACCTCCATGGCTGACAGGCCCTCCAGCTGCCGGACACCACTGTGACAAAATTAAAGTGCTCGCATGAAATCTAGCTGGAAAGTAATTTTGTCTGAAGAGGTCCTGAGAGCATAATTCCTGGCTTTAAAATTTAAAGAGATGTGATAGCAGAAATGATTTTCCTAGCATTTCTCTGCAGGCAGGTAAAGGCACTTAAAGCCTCTCCAAGGGGATGGGGTGGAGGATCGCTCCCCTGGGATGGCTGATGAGAGCCTGCAGGGAAGCATTTTAGAAGCTACACACACCTCCTCTCCCCACCGTGGCTGCAGATTTTGATATGATCCCTCATAAGCCCTGCACGTGACCAACATGACTGACGGTAGCGTGTTGGTAGCGTGTTGCTCCAGTGGAAGGAGAAGGGACTGCAGAAAAGGTGAAAAGCTGCCAATTTAGGGAGTGGCAAGTGGGCCAGTTTTCAACTAGTTGCATTTCTCTTTCTGCCCCCAAGCCTCCTTCGGTGAGCAATGGTGCTGAGAGCCCAGTACTGCCCTTGGACCTTGACAAGGGGCCTCTGCTTCCCAGGGCTAGTTCTGGCCCTCCTCCCTCTGCACCCCACCCCTTGGTGTATGCAGCCTCTACTACCAAGGAGACATGCCCCCACCCTGGGAGTCCACATCCCATGAGCCAGACCAGGCTCCCAGCACCCCAGGACTCCCTGTCCCCCAAGCTCCACACCCACTCCCAGGGTCTGTGCAGGCCTGTTTTCTGGATCCGTCCTCCTGAGGGAGGTTGTGCCATTAGTGTAGCAAGTCTTGACCTGAATGGTGGCCAAGGGATAGCTGTTTGCAGGGGCAAGACTGGAACCGGGTGGGCATGCAAACCAGAGAATCCATCCAGGCTGTGCGCCAGACTCCTCGCCAGGCCAGAAAGAGCCGGTGGTAGGAAGAGAAGCAGAAAAGTGTGTGAGTCAGAGGCAGCTCTCCCAAGGCCTCTACATTTCTGCAGGAGCTCAGAGAGTTCAAGATCTCACCCTTCCAGGTAGTGATGAAGGTCTATTTGTCAACATAGGAGGACAGAACCTATTTCCCAGGTTGTTAGCTTGCTGTATCCCACATACCATATATGTGCCTTCAAGTATACCCTTGTCCTGGGCTCCACAGGAGGTGACAGTGGACCTGAAGAACCCACCTGAATTGAGGAGTCCATGTGCCATACTCAGCTGGCATATGAAGAGTACTGGTTCTTAAGCATCCAGTGAAATGAAACTGAAGCCATATAGGATGTAGTGAAGATGGCCACAGAAGAAAGTGGTTACTATGGCACCTGGTGCTATGCACACGACCTCTCTCCCATTCTCAAACCAGCCAGTTAGAAACCAGCTTGCGATTAGTCTCCTTCTGCCCTCCTCCTCCTAAGAGGCAAAGGTACCCTGAGGAGGAATTCAGGCTGTGGTCAAGCAGCTCTGACTCGGAATCCAGCTCTGTGGATTCAGAGTCTCAGTCTGTCACCACTTACTAGCAATGTGATCTGGGGCCAGGTCTTCCTGAGCCTGAGTTTCCCCAGCTGTCAAATGACACCTTGCCACAGGGATTCTTGTGAGGAGTAGAGCAGAGGAGTGTAGCGTTCCGTAGCGTCCACCACGTGATTAGTGCTGGCATTAGTTTCAATTGTCAGTTTCTAGAGGACGGGAACTATACCTGCTCTAATTTTTATCACCTAGCACACCATAAAATGTAAGAGAGTATCTCCAGGCCATTAGATTTCCAACCATCCAGATTGTGCACATTCCCAGCAGAGCCAATTATGTGAGCTTACGCTGAATCATCTTTACCAACTCAAAGTGGAAGTGCAAATATTCCACTTCCATAAAGAACTTAAATTTCCAACTGGATTTCCATAAAGAAGTTCAATTACATCTGGTTTGAGTTGATGTTTAAAAAAAAAAAAAAAGAAAGAAAGAAGGCTAGGCACCATGGCTCATGCCTGTAATCCCAGCACTTTGGAAGGCTGAGGGAGGTGGATTATCTGAAGTCAGGAGTTCAAGACCAGCCTGGCCAACATGGTAAAACCCTGTCTCTACTAAAAATACAAAAATTAGCTGGGTGTGGTAGCGAGCGCCTATAATCCCAGCTTCTCAGGAGGCTGAGGGAGGAGGATCATTTGAGTCTGGGAGGTGGAGATTGCAGTGAGCCAAGATTACACCACTGCACTCCAGCCTGGGCAACAGAACGCATCCCCCCCCCCAAAAGAAAAGAAGTTCAATTCTGAGTCTCAAACCAACTCACATCTCTTACATAAGACTAATTCTGAACTTCATGGTGGGATTTAACCAGGTTCCTAATCATGCTGCAATGTCCCTAATTCCTTATATGAATGAGATTGTATCAGATGATTCCATGGGGCATGAGAATAAAACCTTGGCATTCCACAATTTTACTGCTGGTACAACTTTAGCATCCCAAATGTGAAAATCCAAAATCCAAAATGCTCCAAAACCTGAAACCTTTTGAGCACGGACATGACACTCAAAGGAAATGCTCGTCAGTGCATTCTGAATCTTAGATTTTCAGATTTGGAATGCTCAATCTGTAAGTATATTCTAAAAGCTAAAAAAAAATCTGAAACCCAAAACACCCTTGGTCCCAAGCATTCAGAATAAGGGGTACTCAACCTGTAATAAGATAACATTTCCTCCACTGAACCTAAAAAAAGGAGGGGGTGCTAGATGTGGTGGTTCACACCTGTAATCCCAGCACTTTGGGAGGCTGAGATGGGAGGATCATTTTAGCCCAGCCATTTGGGGACAGCCGGGGCAAAATAGCAAGACTCCCGTTTCTACATATAATTTAAGGAGTAAAAAAAAAAAAAAAGAAAGAAAGGAAAGAAAGTGATGTGGAGGGACTAGATTTTCCAGCTAGCAGATGTGGATTTCCTAGTAAAATTTGGGAGCTGGTAACTTTTCAAGCTGCTTAACTATTACCATGTCCTACTTACAAAACTATTTTCTTCATGGTTCACCAGCTTCTCAGAGGGGAGAATGATGTTGCTACCAAGGGACCCTTTCCACTCAGGACTTAATACACTCACCCTTCAAGGAGTCATCTCAAACATTCCTCTCCCATAATGATCTGAAGGTCTTAGAGAAATGAAGAGTGTCTCCTACCAAATGATTAGCATGTGTCCAGGTTAAAGGAGTTTAAAGTAAACATTCAAAGGGCCAATGAGACTCTGGAAAAGACTCAGCTCACAGCTAAAGAGAATCTGATGGCACAGGCAGCACTGTGTGGTATAGAGAGCATGTGTTTGAAAACCAGAGAGATCTGAGCAGAAATCCCACACGGGACCAGGAGGCTGTTGGCTGGGCCTGGGCAACTCACTGAGATGCTGCAAGTCTCACTTTTCTCATCTGTAAAATAGTGATAAGGCTACTTCTGCAGCGCTGCTGTAAAGATAAGGGGGGTGGAGGGAATATGCCCAGCCCCAAGAACAATGCCTGCCACACTGCATGTGGTTAAGCAAAGAAGTGAAGAATATCCAATAGTATAGACTTGCCCACTTATGAACTAAGACCAAGTAATTCTGTCCCTCCTCCTTACATGGATAACTGGTCTACCTTTAGAAGGCCTACAAACAGGCTGGGCATGGAGGTTCACACCTGTAATCCCAGCACTTTGGGAGGCCGAGGCGGGAGGACTGCTTGAGCCCAGGAGTTCAAGAATAGCTTGGGCCACATGGCGAGACCCTATCTCTGTTTTTTTTAATTAAAAAGAAAAAAGGCCTACAAACAATAAAATTATCAAACAGAGATAAGCAGCAAAACACAAGATGACATAAGAAAACAAAATTTCCTAACTCCTGTGGTGGTGGACACCTGTAGTCCCAGCTACTTGGAAGGCTGAGACTGGAGGCTCACTTGAACTCAGGAGTTCGAGACCAGCCTAGACAACATAGTGAGACTTGGTCTCAAAAAAAAAAAAAAAAACAAACTTCTCTCAACAAACAAACAAACTTCATAACTCCTGGACAAACCCAATAGGTGATCATTCAAAAGTATACCTATGACTTCAAGAAGTTCATAAGTTATGACTTCATGTTGTTGCAAAAAGAAATAAAGAAAAAGAGAAAAAAGAAAAAAAAAAGTTGGGCCAAATATGGTGGTTCATGAGGCAGGCAGATCACAAGGTCAGGAGTTCAAGACTAGCCTGGCCAATATGGTAAAATCCCATCTCTACTAAAAATACAAAAATTAGCCAGGCATGGTGGTACATGCCTGTAGTCCCAGCTACTTGGGAGGCTGAGGCAGAAGAATCCCTTGAACCTGGGAGGTGGAAGTTGCAGTGGGCCAAGATCACACCACTTGCACTCCAGCCTAAGCGACAGAGCGAGGCTCCATTAAAAAGAAAAAAGAAAAAAAAGTTCGTAAGTATCAATTGGTTCTTTAAAACCAAATTAATATTTTGGATGCTTGAGGGTGAGGCAGAAGAGGGTAGAAGGCGAGGTACACAAGTACTTAAATCTATAATGGCTCTTTTCTATCACATAAGAGATGAGGATTACTTCAAAAGTACTTATAAAATATGTACCATTTTCAAAATTAACAATAGAAATAAGGTTCTATATTGTAACTACTAATAAACATTGGGTAGTTGCTGAAATGGAGCCAAAATACTCTTTTATGTAAACACTAAAACTCTTCTATTATCCTAGAATTCTTTTTCTAATTACAAAAGACAATATATGCTCAGTGTAAAAAACAGTTTAGAGGGCCAGGCACACTGGTTCATGCTTGTAATCCCAGCTAATAGGGAGGCTGAGGCGAGAGGATCACTTGATCCCAGGGGTTCAAGGCTGCAGTAAACTATGATGGCACCACTGTACTCCAGCCTGGGCAACAGAGCAACACTCCATAAAAAACAAACAAACAAACAAACAAAAAACATTTAAAGTTTGGAAAGAAAAAGGCACCAAGAAAAAAAAATAATTCATATAGATAGCTAAACAGACAGACAGATAATATATGGCTTACCCCAGGAAGCTTCTTATTAACTCTGCAATATGCTAAATACATAAAGTACAAAACTTTGCTTTTCCACTTTTACTTTCTGAACTCATTTTCAGAAATACTCCTCAATGTTTTCTCACACAGATGTCAATCCTTTCCTATCAACCAAAATGATGAACGTATTATAACTACACCTTCAACTCAAAGCCTGTAACACAAATGGACTCCAAATCTACTTCTGCTAGAGTTTCTGAATCTTTCAACTTTTAACCCAGACTACAAATAATTTAAAGCTTCACATATTGTTCCATGACCTAAAATCTAGGACCTGTCAAACTTTATTTGCCACAGGAAAGGTCAATAAAAGAAAAGATCAGTTCAATACTTCTTTCAGTCCCACAATTTGCACTGTCTTGCCTCTTCTTAAAAGACAATGCCCTTTGTCCCCCAGTACCCTTAGTGAGCTAGCCTCGTTGTACACTGGATCCTTATTATTTTCCTAACAAAGGCACCTCTAACGAGATATGGAGGTTCAGAGGGGATTCTCTCCACTCCAAGTAGCTGTCAGGCTGATGAACTTCTTAGAGAAATATGTCAGGTCTGTGTCCAGTCACCGTTCAGATGCATTAAATAAGCATCTTATTTGTGGCAGCCTTCTACCTGAATGGCTAGACATTTTGAGGATTCCTGTGTACCTACTGTGTGCCAAGCGATGCTCATGTTCAAGGCCAGCCTTTAAATATAAATATAGATATAGATAGATATAGATATAGATGATTTCAAAGTACCTTTGCCAAGTTTAGGCGAGGTTAGGTGCCTTGTCCAAGGTGTCACAGTTAGAAATGCTGTCCCAACCAGGTGTGTGAGACCCACAGTCCCACTAGCGCATCCTGTGGTCACAACCTATTCACGGTTTGCATCAAAAACGTGGGAGGTTGTTCCTGGGTCTTACATATTCTCCAACTATCTCTAGAAAACACTACCCCCAAGCTGCTCCACGGTGGGTCTTGCTGCCAAGGAGAAGTGGGCACCGAGGGACCAAGGGCCATGGGCTTTCCTCAGCAGGGAGGGAACTGCGCTGCAGATGTCAATGGTGGTGAGGTTGACGATGCCTTCCTTACTGTCCTCTATGGCAGTCCCATAACACACCTTCCCTTGCGTATCCTCACCACAATCTGGTTATTACAGATGACAATAACCAAGGCTCTGGGAAATTCCAGCCACCGCTCCCAGCCACCCAGCCGACCGATGGGACTTGAACCTGAGCCTCCTGGATCCGGGCGCCCTTCCCAAGACCTCCCGAGCCCGGAGTGTTGCCCTCACCCCTCCCAGGGCAGAGCCCGTCGCCTCCCTTCTCCGGGACGCCCCTCTCCCGGTTGCTCGCAGCTCCCCACGGCCGCTCCCGGAATGCCCCGGGCGCGAGCGCCCCGGCGCCAGCTGCTCCCTCTGCCCACGCCATCGCAGGAACCCCGGTCCTGGCGGCCGCCGCAACAGATCCACTTACGCGGATCGCGGAGCAGGGCGCCTGCAGCGCGCAGGGCCGCAGCCATGTTTGGTCCGAGTGAAAGCATTCCCGGGACAGCTCCCGGGACAGCCCCGGCTCCTCCCGCGGCGGCAAGCCCAGGTGACCGCCCAGCAACAGCCGAGCTGGGCCGCGCTCCCCACACGCATCCCCAGCCCCTTGACCCCGCGCGGCTACCGGCGCCCTCCCGGCGCGCCCGCTCATTCGCTGCCTGGCCGGGGCGGGGCCACGGGGGCGAGGCCAGGCTGAGCCGGGCCGGGGCGGGGCCTCGGGGGCGAGGCCAAGCTGAGCCGGGCAGGGGCGGGGCCTCGGGGGCGAGGCCAGACTGAGCCGGGCCGGGGCGGGGCCTCGGGGGCGAGGCCAGAGAGAGACACGCCCCTCGCGGAGAGCCCGCCCGGGCTGGGCGCCGCTACCTGCAGGAGAAAGGGCCCGGGGCTTCGCTGGAAGCCCGCTCCCCATAACCATCGCAGGTCTACAAAACCTGCTGGACTCCTCGTTGCGCTGTACGGGTGCCCTGGTTGCCTCTGCCTAATTAGCCAAGGCAAGAGCCTCAGCCATGACTCAGCAAAGAACTTTTTTGACGTTTCCATCCCTACTATTTAGATATAAGGATGCTTTTGCCTCAGTTCTCCAGTTTGCCTGCCTCGTCACAGCACAAGTGTGCAGGTCCTGTTTTGTTTTGCTTTATCTTTAGAATAGAAAAAGGAATTATTTTATATTAGATGCTCGTGTCATTCAGTTTCTCTGCAGCCTCTCTGTGTAGCAAAGTTTGACAGGTGAGACTCACAGAAGAGCATTAGGAAAAGTGAAGGTCAGCCTGGCAAGTGCATTTCTTGAAGGGACGATATGGTGAAGTTTGTCTGGTTCATATCCGCGTACCTTTCCAGGTAGCCGCCCGCCCCGCCCCCAAGGTCACACACTGAGACCACGGGGAGGAACAGGCACGCACCCCTCACTTTGTTCCTACACCTCCGCCAGCCCACCCTGCCCATATATGTTCAATGCATTCTGGACTGGGAAACCAGCCCTTGGTACAGAAAGGTCTTGGGCATCGGTATTCACTGAACAAATATTGAGCACCCTATGTGCATTGAATAACAGTAGTGAAAAGAGCAGACTTGGGCTTATATGGGGTTAGCAGAGACACAGAAAATAATCACAATATGTACTATTTTGAGTGGTGACGAGCATTAGAAGAATGAGCCCTCCCATGCCCTCCCCTCTTCTTTTTCTCTCTCAGGACAAAAGGAGAATGAAGCAAGGTAAAAGAGATGAGGTAGGGTCGCGGAAGGGGCTAATGCAGTTTGAAGCGGATGGGTCAGAGAAGTCCTCACACATTCAAGCAAAGGCCTCTTACACATTTGAGCAAAGGGAGCAAGCTATACGGAACATTCAGGAAAGGTGGAGTCTAGATTCAGCTGAAACTCAGTTGCCTGTAACTTAAACGTGTGCTACTGATGGAATTAGTTTATTTCTTATTAAAGTTAGTCCTCCTGATGGTTATAAGCCCAATGCAAAATGTCAAATTAAATGGATAGCCTTTCATATTACCTACATGATCTTCACATCCAAGCAGACGTCCTGAGAAAAGCACAGTAAAACCTGCTCCAGGTATCAACCCACCTTCCTATACGTGCGGCTAATTCTCTACCCGCATAACCAAAATTATAGTGGTTTTTTAAGTTGCTCTTTAAACAGGTGATCTTCATGGATAATAGACTTCTCTACCTACAGTCTGAACCCTTTGTCGTTATTGTCGTTGTTGTCTTTGTTTTTCTAGTAGAGACGGAGTTTTGCCATGTTGGCCAGGCTGGTCTCAAACTCCTGGCCTCAAGTGATCCACCCACCTTGGCCTCCCGAAGTGCTGGGATTACAGGCGTGAGTCACTGTGCACAGCCTGAACCCATTTCTTCTAAAGAAACTAAATTAAAGTACTGCACATCTTGCAATGCTGTGCTGGCAGATATGTAGACAAGGCCAGAGAATAAAACGGCCAGGGGTGTTAGACGTCTGAGCTATGTAGGCCCTCGTCCCTTCTAGAAGGCCCTGGATAAGTCGCCCCCTCCATCCAGGGTGCTGGGCCCCCTTCATGCTGGGTACAGATAAGGGGACTTCTGGTCCCTCCCAGGCAAATGCTGATGATTAGTGACAAGGCAGAAAGGTACCAAGACTCACCAAAACGAAATCAACAGTTGGCGCGGGTTTACTTTGTTCCTGTCTGGAAAGGATTAAGGAATTAGCAAAACATACTTTATTAAATATATCAACAGAATTTTTTCAATGAATCAGCATCATTTCATTTCCTTTATTCACATCTTGTACTTTCATTATTACTGACTTCTCTATTTTATTTTATTTTTATTTTTTTAATTAATTAATTTTGAGAGGGAGTACCACTCTGTTGCCCAGGCTGGAGTGCAATGGCTCGATCTCAGCTCACTGCAACCTCTGCCTACCGGGTTCAAGCAATTCTCCTGCCTCAGCCTCCTGAGTGGCTGGGATTGCAGGTGACTTTATTGACTTTTAAAAACTCATTCAGAAGTTTTTCAGAATTCAGAATTCCTCATATAAAACCTCCTGGTGCACATATTAAGAACTCATAGGTTAATACTGAAAACAGAACTTCATTCTTTTTCCCCAACAGAGAGTACCGTGAAAAGTATTTCTAATCTATGGCTTATTTCATACAAACATTAAATATGACAGCTTTCCAATGAGTAAATTTTTATGTTCTTATGAAATGAAGGCAGATAAAATGTGCTTTATTTTCAAAACTGGTAGAAAACACAGTCCTTAACCCAGAAATTGTGAACTCTAAATACTGGCTTACAGAAAAGCCCTCGAAAGGCCCAAGAAATTTGCAGAACCATATGATATACATAATATGAATTTTTTCTGACCAAACATATTTTTAACAAAATTACACACCAATTCCATTATCAAACAGAAGGCTACAAAGCCACAGCGTCTGGGCTAACAGAGATAAGTAGCACTCTGACTAGGAGGGAGAGGGTTTGTCTGGGGCCTGGTGGTTTCATTAGTGAATAAAGCATTCACCTGTCACAGACACCAATCTGAGTGCAGCCTGTAATCCTAAATAAAATGAATTTGTTGGTTTCAGCTCAGTGCTTTAGGGAAAGGGGTGGGAAATCTCTTCGTTCATTATTTGCCATGATTGGCACCTCTGCGCTACACAAAATAAATTTAGATTATTCAACTCTGATTCCTTAATCAGAAAAAGAACGGAGGAAGGGGGACGTCAGGAGGGATTCAGAGCAAGAAAAACAGTGGCTGTGTGTGACAAATGGTAAGCCATAATGATTGCTCAGAGATATCTGATCGATTATCCCTAGAATCATTTTACAAGAAAGAGTCCACCAAATCCAGGCCACCACGCCATGCGTTTTGACATGCCCCTGTTCACGCAGAGCCTTCAGCCCTACGGTGGTGACGGGTTTATTAATCCATCTGCCCATACTTCCTGACCGTCTACCATGAGCAAAGCATTATATCAGGTCATGCGGAGGATAAAGAGTGAAAAAGAAAACAAATGACATTCTCAAACAACACATTTGCTTATGAAACAAACATGTAGGAGACTCCACTCTGTGTCAGGCACATGGCAGGCACTGGGTGTGCAGCAATGAACTGAATGGTCTACTGTCATAGAAGGTACCTTCTAGAAGGCAAGGCAGACGATCATTTTACAGCAAAGATGAAAGACATACAACATGTTGTCAGGTATGGCTAGGGACTGTGAAGAAAGCTAAAGGAGGCTCAGGAAGGGAGAGAGGCTGAAATTGCTCATGTTAGTAGTGCGGCCAGGACCAGACTTTCTGCAAAGATGGCATTTCAGCAGGGACCTACAGGGAGTAAGGGCGTTGTCTGGGGAAGGGCTTGTGAGCAGAGGGACCAGCAAGCACTGAAACACATTTGAGGCTTGTATTCATTTCCTAGGGCCGCTGTAACAAAATACAACAAACCAGGCAGACAAATGTATTTCTTCCAGTTCTAAAGGCTAGAAATGCCAAAATCAGGGTGTCACCAGGGCTGCACTCCCTCTGAAACCTGTAAGGGAGAGTCCTTCCTTGCCTTTGTCAGCTCATGGTGGTGGCAGCAATCCTTGGCATTCCTTGGCTTCTAGATGCAGCACTCCAACCTCCGCAGTCACAAGCTATCTTCTCTCGTAAGGACACCAGTCATTTTGGATTAAAGGCCTACCCTAATAACCTCATCTTAATTTGACTGCATCTGCCAAGACCCTGTTTCTAAATCAGTTCATGTTTGCAGGTAGCCGGGGGCTAGGATGTCAACATGTCTTCTGGGGGAGCACAACTCAACGCCATAACAAGGCTATCAAGGAACAGCAGGGAGGCCACGTGGCTTGAGTGGGAGGTGGGAGGGAGAGGAACCAGGGCGGATTGATGTAGGACTTTGTAGGTGCTGAAAGACTGTGTCTTCCGTGTGACCTCCATTTAGCAGAGTGATATGTGCTTGTTTTAGAAGGTTCACTTTGTCTCCAATATGAGGAAAAAACTGGGTTCCTGAGCCAGTCTTCACTTAGAATGCATGACTAAATGTGTCCATTGTGATTTTTTTTTTTAAGCTCACTCATACTGAGTGTTTTTTCCAGAGTCCTCTGCTTCCTGGGTGGTGGAAGGGTCCTAAGGGGCCTTTCTGATTTGCTTCTTCCAGGACAGGGGTCCCACCAGTCTTAGACAAAATTTGTGTGAATATCTCAGCTTTGTTGTCCTGTTCTCTGCAGGTGTATAAATTCACAGCCAGGGAGCTGGCATTTCCCAGAGCCCCCGGAAGATGGCAGGCTTCTTTGTGCATCTCTGGGCAGAGGGCCAGTTTTCTGGATTACTTTTCACAGAAGGGCCGGGCCTCTGCGGCCCTGCTTCAGGGAGGGGTCTGGCCCTAGCTCCACCTTCCTGTGGCTGCATGGGCATTCTAGGAGCTGGGCACATGATGTGTCCACTGTGAAAACTCATGAAGTTGCATGCTAATGATGCATGCCCTTTTCTCTATAAATGTTATACTTTAATGAAGCCTTTTTTTTTTTTTTAACAAGCCCCTTACTGCCTTTATCTGGCTGGGCTCAATTCACCCTGGAGCTCCCTTCCCAACCTAACAGCTCTGACTCTGAGAT